TCCCCACTCTGACACATACGTCACACCAAGAAATGAATACAGCCTTGCTATCTGCTGTGCTGTCAGCTAAATGCTCATCTGATCATGCAAACTAGTTTAGCAGCTATAATGTTTATCATCTTATCAAAGTATAGCTGAAGCTGATGGGAATGTCACTGGTTTTGCAGGTATTCGGTCATATACCAAAGTATTGGACAGATTGAACTTTTGACCTGATGATGGCGCTAGAGGGAAAGTCTCAGAATCACCAAAATCAATAGGATTCCTCCTCTGGGAACCATCAACAAGAGTACCAAACCTCATGGCAATCCATCTGATATTTGTTGAGATATCTGGCCAACAGACATCCCTATAGCCGAGGCACTAGCATAGCTAAAAAGAAATGCTGCAAATGAAGAAAACACAAGCTAACTGAGAAATAAACATTTGCTTTGATAACACATACACAGCTTAAAGACATACATACTGCAAGAAAAATATCGAAAAAAGTCACCACAGAACAGAAAAACAGGCTAGTAATAAGTAAAATGCTAAAGCTAGGTTACGGCCAAAATCTCTAATCTTGCAATTAGAATATTAAAACTAATCGAGCCCTCGAGGCCCAGGGGATACGTGGGCCATCATTTGATTTCTGTCCAAAGAAATGTGGGCTGACAAACATTAGATCTTTGATAAACATAAATGTTATTTTGAGGTGTGAAATCTCTGATTCATTAGGCTGAAACCATTTGAAAGGCCATTTCTCACCACCTGCCAATTAAAACATGCTGATTCAGCAAAGCAGTCACCGGCAAGGTCCAATTAGAGCCAACGGCGCTGCTGGGCGAACCGCAACAAAACACTACAATCCACGATCAGCTGAAGGCGTTCAACAACAGGCGGACAGCGGCAGAGTATCAGCATGGTGTATCAAGCCACTTAGAGAGGATGCAAAGTAGGTAGGTGGTAGTTACTTCATTTGAATTATCAAGTGAACGCTTCCTATTAAATCTGAGTGATATGAGACAACAAACCCTCCAGGAGCATTGTGGGTAATGCTGTTAATGTGGCCTGGATTCCTGCCTCATCTGCAGAAGTAGCAGACAGCCCGCGAGACCACATTCCACATCTGGATGCGATGAGCTCTAACCTCACCACCGACTTCCCTCCCAATGCTTTCACACAGCCGAGCATTGTATCTTAAAACCGCACCTGGGAAACCAAGAAAATGGTTCTTTTTTTTGGTGAAAAGTAAGTGATGATTGTGTTTGAAAAATGAAAACAAACAAAAGGCTTCCAACCTTTAGCAAACTGAGAGGACGAGACAGACGTCATTAAGTAAATATGGTGACTGTCAGCTAGAAAGGAATATACTATATAGTTACAACTATTTATGTAGATGTATAGTAAGTAAACTTAGTTAATTACAGTTTGATGAACATTTGCTAATCTGCAAACCACAGAGCATGTGGGTGATTTATTTATTTCCTGTGAATATTGCGTCAGAGATGAGTTTTCCTTGTATTTTAGGAACCTTCTGTACAATTATCTGTATAATTATTATTTTTTTTGACAAATAAGGTGTTTTCTTCTCCCTGATGCCTGGGCATTGTTAGCTCTAATGCAAGACGGGGCGGAGAGTGAAGTTATTTGTGAATGTGTGAATATATTTTGTGTTTAGTGTTGAGTTTAGATCTTAAATAAAAATTAGTTAAAAAACTGAAAAAACAACATTTTTATTTTGTTTTCTTTACAGGAATGAACAAAATGCTTACATACAGGCTCACTGTGTTTATTTGTGTGTTAACAGTTTGTGATCTTAACATAACATGTCAACTCAACATAGTGGCACAATCTCGCAAGTAGATCGTAAAATAAATAAACTGTGACCAAAAGAAATCAACACATGAAAAATAAATACCTGCACATCCTAAAACTAAACTTCTATAGGAGCTTTCTTACTGTAGTTAACGATGTGGCTGCTGACAGGCCACTGAAGCGTCTATAGTCGTTAGGTGGGTGTTGTTTACTCAAGTGTTAAGCAACAGTAAAATGAGTCAATGAGCAAATGTAGATCACCACAGACAGAAGCAGGCGCTGCAGCTTCAAACTCATCCTGAGACCAAAGGCTACTGTCTGTTTCCTTACAACCGCTGCAACAAAATAATACAAGTTTCTGTGCTATTATCATACAAGGCAATCTTATGTGAAGTTCAAGGTCAATTTCTGCATTTCAAACGCTTCCCGTTAACTTTGTGTCCAGATGCTTTCTTTAGCTATGTGACGCTAGACGCCACTGTGAGTTTCTCTTTTTGAGCTGACTTTACTCCTTTAACTACTGTGTACTGCCTTTGGGAGATTAATGTGGAACAACCGGTGCTAAATCTCCTGAACAGCAACTTAAAAAGGAAAAATAATCAAAATCTTTAAAGCGAGATCAGCCTAAAAAGACTACAGCTTTCACAACCTGCAGTTATATTGGACGACCTGAGCTACTGGAAAGCTGCTGGCATTTTTCTTCAATTTTAATACACTTAATCTTAAATCTTAGTGGAGACAATTCTTCACTGATACTTGGCTATCAACCCTCACATGTCCTTACTTTCTCCATCACATCATGATTAATTTGCATATTTAATCAAAACCCCAAACCTAAAAAACAGCACAGGTTTGTATATCCATGAACTGATGGATGCAGAACTAAATGAGAGGCTTTTTATTGCCTTTGAGCATGACTTACAGGGTTATAAGTGGGTTATTATTACTTGTTTATTTTGTGCTTTAATGGCAAAGACAACAAGCTCCTTTTATACCATGGACCTGAGAAATTAGGGTTTTGAGAATATGATTAATTTCAGAATTAAAGTAAGCATTAAAAATTAAGGGATTAAGAGGTGAAAGTGGATTCAGAAACAAATAATATAAATAATTTATAATAATTAATTAAGGAGAGATTAATCATTATGGTGCCGAGTTTATAGTCAGATAAAGGCTCGACCTGCCCTACTCTGCCTCTGATTGGCTCAGCCTGACACTGAGGTAGAACCGCTGTTGGCACATTGGTGAATGAAAGAGATGCGAAGGAGCTAGCAACCCAATCACTGGACAACGAGTACAGTCTGAAAATATCGTCAGATGTAAGAGAAGAACTCGTTTGATCTATTCACGGCATCCTTTCTCATCCTTCGCGCACAGGTTGCTACCTATACTGTGAACACACAGACTGCATTTAGAAAGACATCATTACAGCAAAACTTCATGTTTCCTGTCAGCGAGGGTTGTGTGAGAAACGTCACTGTCAGGCTGAGCCAATCAGAGGCAGAGTTGGGTGGCTCGAGCCTTCACCATTGTAGGACTTGTACATTTGGCTGCTTTGCTTACGTGAGCATGCGGGCTAACTACCTGGCTAAATGTGGTCTGACCTGAGATGAACTGAGTACCAACAGGAACGAAAGACGAGCCAATTTAAGCTGCTGTGTCACAGTGACCTAGATTTTAAAACAACTCTGCCTCGTAGCTCGTGTCGTGTCAATAACACTGGTAACCCGTCCTTTATCTAAACCACAATAGTCATTTTTTCTCCCCACCTGGGGGTTGCCCAAGCTTCATGGGGGGGTTGCGAGGCACTTCTTGGTTTTAAGGGGTGTAAGAGAACTTTTAAAATACACACAGTAGGTCTGTATGTCAGCATTTCATACACGTCTGTGAAGAGAACCAAATTAAATTCTTATTAAGTTTAAACTAATATTTAAGATAAAAACTTTAAAGACCTAAACACAAGATATATATTTCACTCTCTATTAAACAGCCTCATCCTGCGTTTAGAACAATGGTTATCATCAGGGAAGAAAACACTGAATCTGCCCAAAAAAAAAAAGCCTATTAAGTAGGATTGTTAAAAATATATAATAATATAATATAATAAAAATAATTCAGAGGATTGTATAAAAAAAAATATCCCACATATATCAGATAAACTAATCTCTAATGCAGCATGAACCGGAAATATTCTGCTCGTTTTACAAACTTCCTGCAGTTATTTTGTTC